GCCTCACACTACGGCTTCCAGGCTCCAGATGGTGATCATGACTGTTAAAAAGCCGCCATTATGCCTGTTAATGAGGATAATAAAACCAAATGATTCCTAAGCACTGGAAACATATGGGGTGCCCTCAAAACACAGATTTACCCGGCATTATCAGGAAATGAAGTTTTCCACGTCAGTGAATACTCTGGAAAATTAGGGCCCACCTCTTTAGCTTCCATTTTTTCTAAAGATATTAACCATTTGGATGGAACTGTGTGTCCCATACATAACACGTTTTTCCATCTTGATGAACAGTTTCATAATGCAAAGACTTTATTTTTTCTGGATGTCTCCTTATCAACCATGAGGTGGCGGCTCCTCCAGAACACATTTGGGTCCTCACTAGGACCGGAGCCACTTGGCTGGGCGTGGTGTGCTATATGAGGGCTCCTGCACTCTACAGTAAGCTCTTTAAGCAAGAGCCCGGGCTTGTCGCTCTGTGACCTTGTGTGTCTGAGCCCTTGCCCCCCAGGAGGCGGCCCCAGGAACAGCCCGTCCGCAGGCCCGGGAGCCTGTCAGGAGGTGCCTCTCTGACCCACCCCAGGCCCACTGTGAGCTTCAGTCTAGATCTCACCTGCAGCTCCAGCGTGGCCTCTGCAGGGTAAGAGAAGCACTGCCCTCCAGCAGAGCTGGTCAGCAGGCCCCTGGCCAGCAGACCCCTGGCCACTGACATCCTGATCACCTGAAGAGCTTCGTAGGTGTGCAGGATTCAGGGAGAGAACCCCACAGACCTGCTGGTCCCACTCTGGGGTAACTGTGGTATGCACCAACCCTAGCAGAGGGCCCAGCTCTGGGCTGGCTCGTGGGACACTCTAAGTCCTGGTTAAGTGGGATGGAATGGTCATCCTGTCTCCTTCCCCATGAGAAGCTGAATGGAGTTAGTCCTTTCATCCAAGTCGATAAAATTCCCATCCTGATGCAGTGGCTGAGGCCTCTGCCTTACTAGGTGGAAACGCCAGACCCAGACGTCCATGAACCACATGAGCATTGACCTGAGATGTCCTGTAGGGACATGCCCACATGTCCAGCCTTCCAGGGACTGTAGGGGGCAGAACTGGGCAGCAGCTGCCAACGGGCGTGGGGCTTGTTTTCAGGGCAGGGAAGCGAAGTGTGGATTTGGTACACAGCCTCACAAACATGCTAACGCCCTGAACAGCCTGTCGAGGATGGAGTCTAACCACGTGAATCTGACTCCATTCTGGCACAGCCCTGGGATCCCCGTCAGGCCTCCTGAACTCAGTCCTCCTCCTGCCACATGGGAGCCTCGGACCCCCGGCAAGTCAGGACCTCTTCAAGACAAAACTCCTCTGTGAAGAGGATGCATGGTGTCTACTTGTGCGTCTATTATGAGATTTAAGGGGATTAGCAAAAAAAAAATGTCTATGGTAGGGCAAAACCTACCACCCCAAAATGTGACCGAGGAGAGAGAGTATTCCACCCTAAAATCAACCTCCTCGGTATAGTGACTGTCTCCAGCTGGTTATTTTGAGAAACTGCAGACACAGGAGCAGCTTGGCAAAGCTGCCCTTTTGTAAAAGGAAGTCTTCCTGGGAAAGACGTGTACCAAGAAGAGTTTCTAAGCCTTGCTCTTTGGGCTGGAGGTACAGGAGACCAGAGGGTGGGAGGTCAGAGAGACCTCGCTTCTGAGACCTTTCAGTGTCCTTCAGCCCAGAGTGCTCAGCACCTTGGGGTATCAGCTCTGAGCCCCAACATGGCTCATTTGGAATCCAACAGTTTTCAAACTTGAAAATGCAGAAGTATCACCTTGCAAGCTTGATAAAATGAATGCTCCTTAGGCTTTTGGATTTGCAAGTCTGGGGTGAGGCTTCAGGATCCGCATTTTTAATCAGCTTAGCATTCTGATGACAGATGGCCTGGACACGGCACTAGGAGAAAAACTGTCTGAACCTGGCAAACTAGGAAGAGAGTTGAACAATCCTTTAAGAATTACATGTTATTTTCCCACTCAGGATGTCGGAAACAAAGAACACTGCTCCTATCCTTACCCCAAAAAAATACATAAAGCTAGACAATCTGAGCTTTCATGAGTCCCCCACAGAGCTGAGGCTGAAGGGCAACCTGGGGAGCCAAGACCTAAAACACAGCACCCCCGGAGACAAAGGCACAGACACGTGGTCACCAGGGCAGAGGCCACCAGCCCCAGAGAGGAAAAATTCAGCTACAACTCTTAACAGATTGCTAAGGGCACAGCTCAGGCCAGGAAGAGACCATCAATCAAACTAGCCAGAGACAAGTACCAGAGACTACCAAGCCACAGCACAGAGTTTGACACCCTCTCAYGGGCTTTTTTCCACGGACCTCATTGGGTACACACAGCCCAGGCACTGCAGGCCTTGGGAAGAGGAGCTGTGGCCGTGACAGATGCAAGGAGCAGCACTGGGTCCTGTCCTCCATCTCTCCTACAGAGAAAGACCTTGAAGTGTTGGTGGAGAACAGACACCCTCACTCCCGAGTGCGAGTGGAAGAGCCCTTGCAACTGAGAGAAGGGGGAGTGGAGGTGGAAATCTGCAGCCCGGGAAGAAGCAGGGATGTCCTCCAAGCCTCAGCCCACAGCTAAGCTGAAAGGCAGCCACTGAGACCCAGAAGGACAATAGGCTGCCACAAGAAGGCTCACCCCGCTCTCTCCAGCACTAGGCCACAGTGAGCATCTGTGGACGGGTAACAGTGGTCTTCTGCTGAGAGGTGTGAGGGCAGGGGAGACCCCACTGAGGCACGGTGCACAGCCAGGCCTGAAGCAGAGGCCAGCAAGTCAGCCCTGGTCCGAACACAAGAGGAACTCGAACCTTTGGATTTGCAAGTCTGGGGTGAGGCTTCAGAATCTGCATTGAGGATGACCACAGCCACAGAAACCCCCAAACTGGTTCAGCTCCCGAGTAGGTTGACTCATCCCCCACATTAAAGTCCAGGAATAAGAAAACATGACGATTCTAGGCATAGCCACTATTTAACTCAGTCCCTACCGCCCTACATAAGATATTTGAGTTTTGCAAAAAAAAAAAAAAAATGTAAGGTGTATAAAAAAAAAACTCACACAACAACAACAAGGAAAAAAAATAACAGTGCTGAGATGTAAAGCAATGAGCACAACCAGACACACAGCAGCAGATGGATAATGCATTCAGCAGGCTCCTTAGACTTGAAATTGTCGAGGAAAGTTAAGACAGACCAATAGAAATTACCCAAACTGAGACCCAAACATAAAGGAGCAGGCGAACAGAACCAGAGAGCACAGCTCCAGGCGCCTGCAGCCGTGCTGGTTTAATACGCGTACGGTGGAGTTTCAGAAAGAGCAGGAGCCAAAGAGGAAAATGAAGCAATGATGTGTCTACACTCCCTTCCTTCACTCCACAGTGGGTGCTCTCTGCTGCTTCTCTAACTAGGTATCCAGTGTCATTTTTGTCTGCCTAATAAAACGCCTGGCACTTGGTAGGTGCAAGTCTTGTGGCAAGATTGCTGTTTCCATCCTGTTGTCTGATGAGGTTGAAAGCTCCCTCATTTTTACTGTTTTCTGGTTATATAATTCTGGGTGGACAGTAAGTGTGCACTCCATTGTCTTCTGGCCTGCATGGTTTCCAGCAAGAAGTCTGCCGTATCTGTCACCTTGGATGGTCTTTTCCTCCACTCGTCTTCCAGGATACCTCATGTCTTTGCCTTTCAGTGGCTTGAGTGTGTGTGTGTGTGTGTGTGTGTGTGTGTGTGTGTACCTATCTTGCTTAGTGTTTTTTCAGTCCCTTGGATCAGTAGTTTAGTGTCTTAGCTTTGAACCTGTCTTTGGCTTATATTAGGATATAATGTTTAGGCTGAGAACTGAAGAATGAGAAAATCTGAGTCAAGAAGGAAAGGGTCAGAAGTGTTTCAGAGAAGAGGGCCTAGGAGATGGAGGAACAGCATGATGAATAACACGATTAAAGATCCTCCCCTCTAGGCAAATTAAAAAGACCATCATAGCTGAGTAAAAAGCAAGTGGGAAGGCGAAGTACACAAGGTCGGTCAGACTGACGGAGGACTTAAGTCACCGACACTTAGCACTTATCCTTAAGGGTTTATCAAGGTTTTTTAAGCTCAAAAATGGGACTCAAATCTGACAAAACCAGATTTAAATTCTTAACTTGATAATCCACAATGATCATTCAGCCTGCTGGGTAGAGAATGTGCCGAGTATGTTCTAGAAGTCAGGTCTACACATTCCCTTGGACACTCTCAAGCCATGGCTCCTCTCCTCCACCTTCCTCCCTCCACACATTGTCATCTAGTACCTACCTAGGCTGCCCAGGACTTACCATGATGTGGCCCTTTCCTTTGATCCACAGTCATCACATAGCTAACTCTATTTCCGAGCCTTCCTGCTGTTAGATGTGGCCATGTGCCTGAGTTCTGGCCAAAATGAACAGGAAATAAACTTCTATTGTTTTGCATCACTAAGGTTTAAGGATACTTAATCAGAGAACCTATCTTACCCTGAAAAATATACAGAGCAACCAACCATACAAAAATTAACTTTTTTTCACTGAATTCCTTCAATTGACAATTGCATACAAATATATTTTATAGGACTGCTGCAGATTTTATGAATAGGTTAAGAAACATAAGTAAAAGTTTGCATATTCCCCAACTCACACAACACGAATGGCCACACACTTAACCAATCTACCTCTACAGGGTTCCTGTCAAAATTCCTGGGACTCATGCTCTTAATTAAGCATGATATGGAACAATGGAAAGTTCCTTGCATTTGTAGTAGGAAGGCCAGTATTATTCTTTCTGAAATGCTACTGACCAGTCTTGTGGCCTTAGAAAACTTATTATTATTTTGATGTCCCTTTTTATCTATAAAAGGGAAAATAATAATGCCAGTCTTCAGGGACAAAGGATTATGCCGAATGTGGCAATATCTGTGTGGTAAAGGGCTGCATGCACCCATGATTTTCCCTTCCCCTTACCTACACCCTTTGCTAGGTGATTGCAACTTCATCAGCAAATGGAGTGAAGTGCATCTCCCCAAGCCTGGATGCTGAATGCAGCTACGTGACTTTCCTTGGCCAGCACATGAAGCCCTGGTGTTTCTGCTTGCTCTCTTCGGCCTCGTCCTCTTCCACCACCAGGAGACCACGGTTGAGTTAGCTTGATGAAAGATAAGAGATGCACAGGTCAGAGCTGAGTTTCCCAGGGCACTGAGTCAAGGCCATCCCAGGTCACCTGAGAGACAGCCAACCCCCAGATTTGTGAGCCCAGCCAAGGTCAGCAAAGCCACCTCACCAACCTCTGGACACAGGGGCAACAAACACATACTGTTGCACGCCACTGAGAGTCCGTGCTGTTTGTTACACAGTATGATTTTTGTTGGTGTATTGCTGTTGTACGTGATGACAGGGCTCATCGCTACCTATTCGTACATGCACACGATATGACCATAAGATCTGGGCCATGCCATCCCCAGTATCTCCCCTTTCTTCCCCCTCCTCCCTTCCCTGGCCCCTTCCCTCTACTCTCTTCATTTTCATGAGATCCCCCACCCCCACTTTCTTTTCCTTTTCCCTCTCTAGCTCCACATCTGAAAGAAAACATACAACCCTTGACTTTCTGAGTTTGACTTATTTCCTTTAACATCATGTTTTCAAGTTTCATCTATTTTCCTGCAAATGAAATGATTTCATTCTTCTTTATGGCTGAATGGAAGAACTCCGTGGCATATATATCTCACATTTTCTTTATCCAGTCACCCACTGATGGACCCCTAGGTTGGTTCCAGGGTTCGACAATTGTGAATCGTGCTGCTGTAAACACATGTTTTCTTACTATGACAACTTTCATCCTGTAGAATACCAAGGGGTGTTATAGCTGGGTCATGCAGAGATTCCATTCCTGGTCTTCTGAGGAACCTCCATTCTGATTTCCATGGTGACTGCACTAATTTACAATCCCACCAACAGTGTGTAAGTCTTCCTTTTTCCCCACATCCTCTTCAGCATTCCTTAGTGTCTGTATTCTTGATGACTGCCCTTCCGGCTTGTATGAGGTGAAATCTCAATGTAGTTTTGATCTGCATTTCTCTAGTCGCTAATGATGTTGAACATTTTTTTATACATTTGTTGGCCACTTGTATTTCTTCTTTTGAGAAGGGTCTGTTTAATTCATTTGCCCATTTAATAATTGGGCTATTTGGGTTTGGGGGTGTTAAGTGTTTTGAATTCTTTATTTATTCTGATATTAATCCTCTATGTAGCATTATTTTGACAATAGACAACCAGTAGTCTGCAATACTGGGTTGCCGTAACTGTAAAGGACTAGACAAATGTAAGTTATTAAACCCAGGAGAGACATAGATGTAGATACACCGAGGATCCCTTGGTCTAGGGTGTAGCAGGCCTTGAGAAAGAGCTCATTGCATCCTCTTCCAGGGCCCCAGGATCCCAGTTAGAGCTGGAAAGGCCTTGGAGACGCCTAGTCTAGCAGGGTACGAACACTCTTCTTTGTGCAGCCACATCCTCCTGTCTCTCTGTGCAGGCAGACGTGTGCTTTCTGGCACTTCCACACTCCAGGGGTCATAGAGGACCTCACCTTAGATCCTGCCCCCTCTCTCACAGTCCCTGGGCAGATAACCCAGGGGCTGGATCCCCGTCCCCAGTGGGCTGCGTCTAGGCCATGCTCTGATGGTGCTGGGGTCTGCAGTTTTCCAGGAGCTTCCACGTCAGCCCGCTCACAAGCTAGGTGCTGCCAACGCCAAGTCACTGGCCATCCTTCCCTGGGCATCAGGCCCCCCAGGACTTCCTCTCTGGGCCGAGGGGCCCGTCCACACACACTCGTGGAAAAGCGTCCTACTGCAATCCCCAGGATCAGAAGGCCACAGGAATAGGCTGGAAGGGAGAGCAGGCTTGAAGGGAGAGCAGGCCTGAAGGGAGAGCAGGCCTGAAGGGAGAGCAGGCCGGCTACGTTCATCCTCCGAGGAAGACTCACCCAGCTTGATGAGGCTCTGAGCGGCCTCTCGCAGTTCCTGCTAGAGGAACGCTTTTTGTTCTTCTTAACAATGAGGCAACCCGAGGCAGACCTTCTCTTCCCTAAAAGGAATAAGGAGTGTTTATTCTGCGTCCTGAATGGTGTGTTCACCTCGGCAGCTGAGGGAGCTCTTCTTCCCCTCTGCCCAGGGGAGGCAGGAGGCAGAGTGCCTGTCTAGAGAACTGACAGATGAGACATGACACACATGCAGAACCGTCACTTCTGTCACATTTCTCCCCTTAACTTTTTGCAGCAATTAAGGTTTCCATGAGCCTCCCACTCCTTTTCAAATCCTGCTCGTGAGGCAGTTGTAATTAAATCTCCTGACTCCTGGGCTGCTGTGTGACATGACTTTCTCTTAGGAAAGTTGCTAAGTTCCTGACTCTTCCTGGCTCAGACCCGAAGGTCAACAAGTCGCCTCCTCCGTCTCTTCTCCTGCTAAGTMCAGGGAGCGCAGCTGCCCCTCCAGAGGCCTTCCCTGGCCCAATCCCGCCCCACTGGGTGCCCCGTCTTCCCTTGGCCCACCGTCCTGTGGTCAGCACGCCCTGAGCCCTCCCGAGCTGGGCCTGGGGGCACAGCCTGGGGCTCTGCCTGGGCCACAGTGGAGCCTCCTCCCCAGGAGCACAAGTGGCAGCTTCCACCCCCGCAGCAACCCTCGTCCCCCGGGGAGCGCCGCCTCCTCCCTGCCTGACAGCAGCACCGGGAGGCACGACGCCCCGGTTCACCCCAAGACAGCAACCGGGGACCTCTGAAGTCTCCGCCCCATCTGAGGAATAAGCACAACCCCTGACACGGCTGCCCTGGTGCCACGAGACCCAACCAGCCAGGTGCCAGGCACCAAGTCTGCCTCACAGTGCACCAGCACCCGGTGAACCAGAGACCGTGCCAAGGAGGGGCGTGCAGCCTGGGGAGGCGCTGGGCAGGGGTCAGGGCGGCCAGCAGCGGGTCTGGAGGGAGCAGGGGCTTGGAGGGAGAGGCGCAGGCRCAGCGCTTCCAGAGCACAGGTGAGCACAGGTGGAACTGCAGCCTCCTGGGACCTGGACACAGGCCGGCAGAGGAGCAGGACGGTTCCCAAGCCTGACCTCTGCAGTTCTCCCCACAGCAAGAACCGCCATCACCTCTGAGAGGCCTGTGGGCGCCGCCCTGAGCAGGGAGCCTGGGCTCAGGGAACCTGCACCAGGCCGCGCCCCTCAGCCCTCCAGAGTCCAGACCAACTCCTGGCCAGCGAAGCCGTCCCCCAGCCTGGACCTCCTGCACCCCAGCCCGCATGCAGGTGCACCCTGTGGTCACCTCTGTGCTGAACCCCAGTGACTCAGAGACTGAGGGGACGGAATTCCCAGCCTGGAAGAAGGCGGCCGCTGGTGGCTTCCCCCACAGCCCTAGCTCCTCCGCTTCCCAGAGGTGCTCTTCCTCCAGGGCCTCGCACGTGGACCTGCTGCCACCCCTCCTGCCCGGCGCCCTGTGTCGAGCTGGCAGAAAGAAACAGACAGGAAGGACAAGTCCGCACGGAAGGTCAAGGCGGAGCACCTGGGATGCGATGTCCCACCTGGGGCTACTCTCCCCTCGTGGCCAAGAGTGGCTTCTGCACATCCCTCTGACAGAAGCAAGCTGCTGCGGCTTCTCATCTAGGTGAAGAGTTGACCGGTGGCCACCCGCCATCGAGCGCCCAGCTAGCCCCTGGGAGCGTGCTGTGACCCAGCCTCTGGGCAGCCTCCAAAACAACGCAGAGCCTGGTGGCCACCCCCCAGGCCAGCCCAGTGCCTCCCACCTTTAAGTAACCCAGGACCCACCTCCCGAGGACCCCTCTCGACTTCCGAGGGAGCGTGTCCCCTCCTACCAGGCCCTGCCTCCTCACACACCGCCCACCACTCCCCTGACCCCTCCCAGCCCCAGTAGGGCGCCAGGCTCCTTCTGCCCCTCACCCTGAAGCTGGGTCTCAATAGCCGCCTCCTGACTCCTTTGTGGGTCACTCAGCCTCGACTACCCCGAGGGAGCCACTGTCCACCAGCTCCCCTTCAGGGCGGCCCAGCACTCTCAGTCTCCGCCGACTGCTCCTAGTGCTGTCCGCTGCCCTGAGAGTGCTGCTGTGTGGCTGTGCACCATGTTGTTCAGAAAACAGCGGCAAGGAGAGGTGTGCAGGTACCCCGGCAGGGCCACGCTTTTCCCCAATGCTTCCAAACCGCAGCTGGTAGGACCTGCGGCTGCAGAACCCACGGTACCAACTGCACTCCCACTGGGCCACGTGGTGATGACTCTGAGGACCCACGTGTCCAGGGCACTGATAAAGTGAATCCATGGTCACACTTTTTCCTCCCACGTAACTCTGAAGCAGACTTACATTTTCCTGTCTTAATCGGAAAATGGAGGCCAAGAGAGGCTGAATAACTTCCCTCCACTCAAGTAATAAACGGCACCGGGAAAATTACTTGGGAATAATTCCATGTAGATGTTTCACCTGACACCATAAGACAAATAAATCGCAGATGAATTAAAGGTCAAACATTTAAAAATTAACAAAAAAACAGAGCTAAACGTTCTTCCTGGTCTGTAAATAGGGGAGGATTTTTTAGGAATAAAAGCACTGGAGGAAATTCTACAACAACCCCCAAAATTAGCGCATTGGTCCATGTAAAAATGGGGAACTTTTATATGTCACGAAGCCAGATAAAAAGCCAAAAGCCCGACGGAAAGCCGCTAAGAAACAAGGGCCTTCTCAACAGCAGACTCCATGCAAATACCTATTGTGAATCTGTCTTAGAGTAGGAGGAGATTTCAATGGACAGACAACTTGCAGGACGTCGACACAATTTCCTAATAAATATTTCTAAGAGTCAGCTTTTGAGAGAATCAAAGACGTGCAAAATGAACACTTGAACCTGTCCATGTGATTGCAATGGTGGTTCTCCCCGGTGCAGGGGAGGGTGGTGGAGGGGACATGGTCAGCACACAGCAGAAAGCATGAGCCACTGAGACCCACCGTCAGGAGCCGTGAGAACACCCAGACAGGGGATCAAGACGCTCCATCTGAACCCACACTGCAGAAGCCGCCAGGGACACTCAAAGATGACCCTGCTGTGTTCCTCAGTGATACTTTAAGTAGCAATCTGCTCAATGCGACCTTCTATCAT